CACCCGGCGTTGTGGGGCCCCCCCCCCCCGCGTGTGGGGGTTCGGGGATCCCCCGGCGATGACGTCACAGCCCGGCGATGACGTCACCGCCTCAAATGCAGTCGTGAGGGAGCAGTGACGTCACAGCCCCTCCCGTGGCCTTGTGATGATGTCACAACCCCTGACATGGCTGAGCGATGACGTCACAGCCCCCCGCCCCCCCCCAGCAGCCGATGATGTCACACACCCGAATATGGCAGCTGCTGATGTCACAGCCCCTCCCACGGCGCCGATGACGTCACACACTCGACTACGATGTCACTGCCCACGCCTCTTCAGCTGATGATGTCATAGCCCCACGGTGACGTCACACCTGCCGACAATGACGTCACAGCCTCCCCTCCCTCGTCCCCTGAGCAGCCGATGATGTCACAGCCCTGCCCGATGACGTCACACAGCCTCGACGACGTCAGCACTGTGGATTTTCCTGCCCCTCCCATGACGTCACAACGAGGGGTGGAGCCACTCGATGATGATGTCACCAATCACTGCCAAGGCCCCGCCCCTTTCCCGATGATGTCACGGGGGCTGGGCCCGCCGATGATGTCACATCCCGTCCCCGATGACGTCACGCCCACACCGAAGCCATAGTGGGGGGAGGGGAGCCCCGGAGCCCCCCATGACCCCCCCGTGACCCCGTGACCTCCCCGTGACCCCACGTGCCTTAGAGCCCCTCCCCCAGCCCCTCCCCCCCTCGGGACCGGACCCTCCCCGGGGTGGGGGAGGGGCGGGGGGCAGAGGGAATAAAGTGACGTTTCCTGCCCCCCCCAGCCTCGAATTTGGGGGGATTTCAGGGCATTTTGGGGACGGCCTTCAGGGGAGGGGGGCGACCTTTTTGGGGTGGCTTTGGGCGGTCTCGGGGGGAGGAGGGGGCGGAAATTGAGCGGGGGCTCATGACAACTTTGAACCGGTTTTCTCGGGACCGAATTTTGGGGTCCCGGAACGATTTCGGACACCCGGGAAACCCCGCGCTCTGATTGGCTGCTCCACGTGCCAATAACGCCTGGCTCCGCCTCCCGGAAGCTCCGCGCTCTCTCTCCGGCCTCGCTTTTCCCATTGGCGGGCGCTCCCGTCAATCATCGCCGTTCAAACGGCCGTCCCCGCCCCTTCCGCCGACCGTTACGACGCAAACAACGCGCTGAGGCTCCGCCCCCCGCCCTTCTCCCCTCACGAACCCGCCAATCATCGCGCAGAGCCCGCCTTTTTCCTCTTTTCCCATTGGCTGCTAAAGCCAAAGCGCGGTGCTGATTGGTCAGTACGTAGGAAGGCGGGGCTCTGCGCGGCCGAGGTTATAAAGGCGGCGGCGCGGTGGGGGGGGCCCTCAGCGCGGCGGGCGGGCGGCGGCGGCGGAGGAGGGACCGCGCTGCCGGGGGAGGGGGAGAGGGGGCGACCCCCGGCCTCCCCCCGCCCGAGGGGTCACCTCAACACCGCGGGGACCCCCCTCAAAGCCCAGGGGACACCCCCGGGAAGCCGCTTCCTGCTCGGGGCCGGCCCGGCAACGCCGGGGCCCAGCCCGGCGCCATGGTGAGGGAGGCCCAGGGGGGGTTTGGGGTGCCCTGGGAGGGTTTGGGAGGTCCCTGTTGGGATCTGGGCGGATCTGCGGAGGATTTGGGGGGTACCAGGATGGGGTGAGGCCGCTCCGGGCCCGGTCCGCGGGGGTCGCAGCCGTCCGAGGCCTGGGCCCGGCCCGGAGGGTCGTGAGGGAGCTTGGGCCGTCCTGAGGTGATTTGGGTGGAATTTAGGGACCACGGGGATTTCTTGAGCATCTGGGGGAGTTCTGGGGTGATTTGGACGTAGTTTAAGGAGTTTTGAAGGAATTCGGGGCGTTCTGGGGGTATTTGAGTGGTCGTATGGTGATTTGGGGAGAATTCTGGGAGTTTTGTGAGGCATACAGCGGGTCCTGAGGGAAAGCGGCGGGAGTTCAGAGGGTCTTGGAGGATTTGGGGTTTCTGGGGTGATCCTTGGGGGAATTCGGGAGTTTGGGGGGATTTGGGGCGCCCCGGGCGGATTTTCTGTGAGTTGAGGGAGTTGTAGATGGATTTTGGAGGGGGTTAGGAAGAATTTGGGGCGTTTTGAGCACTGCCCACCTCAAATTCACCCCAACTTTTCCCCCCCCTCCAGGAGCCCCGAGCCGGCGCCTGGCAGGTGAGTTTGTGGGGGAAAAGAATGCAAATTACGGTGTTTTAGGGGGGAGCTCTTCCCCCCCCCCTAAAAATCACTGTGAGGGGACCCTGGTGACGCCCGTTTTGGGGTTCCTTGGTGTCCCCGCAGACGTCGAACGCGGAGAACCTGCCCCCGCAGACGCTGCGGCTGCTGTGCAGGGAGGTGTCGCTGCTCAGCGCCGACCCCCCCGACGGCATCAAGGTCTTCCCCAACGACGAGGACGTCACCGACGTCCAGGTGGCCATCGAGGGGCCAGGTACGAGCCCCCCAGACCCCCCCGGTTGGGTTTGGGGGGGGGGGGTGTTTTGGATACGGATTTTGGGGCGCTGACCCCAAGGAGAGCCCCAAAATCGCAATTAATCGTACTGAAAATCGGGGTGAGCCCCAAAATCCCTCTCCAGCCCACACTGGGAGCTGAAGGCAGAGCCTAGCTTGGGTTTCGGGGAGGGGGGGGTTTGAGGTCTCCCACCACCTTGGTCCCCAAGCTTTGGGATTTTTCCTCCCTCAGGTCCTCTCCCGTATCCCAGAGAGCTTCCAAATCCCACTGAAGTGCCCCAAAATCCCCCTGGGCACCAAGGGCATTGCCCAGGTCGGGGTTTGGGGGGGTCTGGGAGATACCAACCCCCCTCTTTGGGGTTGCAGAGGGCACCCCATACACATAGGGGGTTTTTGGAGGGGTTTTTGGGGTTTCTGACCCCCCTCTCTGGGGTTGCAGAGGGCACATGGGGGGTTTTTGGAGTGGTTTTGGGGGTTTTTGGGGTTTCTGACCCCGCTCTCTGGGGTTGCAGAGGGCACCCCGTACGCTGGGGGGCTGTTCCGCATGAAGCTGGTGCTGGGCAAGGATTTCCCGGCCGCGCCCCCCAAGGGGTTTTTCCTGACCAAGATCTTCCACCCCAACGTGGGGCCCAGCGGTGAAATCTGCGTCAACGTCCTCAAGAGGGACTGGAGAGCCGAGCTGGGGCTGCGCCACGTGCTGCTGGTGCGGCTGGGGGAAACGGGGCTGGGAGGGCTTTGGGGGCTTTGGGGTAAATTTGGGGGGGTTTTGAGGGGGCCTGGAGTGAGGGGATGGGGATTGGGAGGGGAAACGGGACTGGGAGGGGTTTGGGGGGGACAGAGGTAAAATGTGAGGGATTTGGGGCAGAAAGTGACCAGTTTGGGGTGGTTCTTGGGGGGAACTTTTTAACTTTACGCTCCCAAATTCGTGGGGCTGATTTTGGTGGGGGGAGGTGGGGAGGGGTAAATTCCGGCGGGAAAAGCCGCCGATTCGGGCAGTTTCGGGGTTTTACCGGGGGTGGGTTTGGGGCGGTTTTGGGGCGCCCCAGGCGCGTGACCCGGCCCCCCCCCCCGCGCCCCCAGACCATCAAATGCCTGCTGATCCAGCCCAACCCCGAGTCGGCGCTGAACGAGGAGGCGGCGCGGCTCCTGCTCGAGGACTTCGAGCGCTTCGCCGCCCGCGCCCGGCTCCTGACCGAGATCCACGCCCGGGGGCCCCCCCGCGAGCCCCCCCCCCGGCCCGCCCCCCCCCCCGGGCCCCCGGGGGGGGCCCCCCGCCCCCCCC